AAAAGAGAAAAAAATTGAGATAATTAATGGGGGTTTTAGGGTTTTAGTTAATTATTAAAATTCTTTTTTTCTTTTTTCCTTTTTCACCCTTAGGAAACATGAATATATTGCGCATGATTATGCCAATGTGGGGTTTCACTTTGTCTAGAAATAATTAAAAATTGGGAAAATAGGATGATTTGGGTTCATCATAATATTGTACCCCACTTATACACATTTGGCACGCCTACAATTTTTGAGGTTGCAATATTATGTTGTTTAGTGCGATGAAAAAGTACTCATCATGTTGAGTTTATATGAATTTTGATCATCTCTTTCACTTGCTTTTGAGTTTCCATTTATTTTGCTTTTATTCTTGATGGATTGTTTGGTATGGTGGTGCAGCGCAAGCGTAAACAACTCTTAGAGCCTGTTTGTTTGGCATTATTTCCGTAGAAAAATGAGAAAATGGACCATTGTGCTGAGCCCCACGTCTGCAACTTGATTTTCTAGTCAAATAGAATTTGGTGCATTTTTACAAATTAGCCCTTCAGTCATCTCATGAAGGTTTTTTTGAATTATAAAAGTGGATTAAGGGTAAAAGTGGAAGTCCATCTCTGCAGTTGTCAAAACTGACACTGTTGGTCTGAAACCTCTTGTCAGAAAAATACTATTGTAACGGTAAGATTTTTTTCTATTTATACAAAAGAATGCCGCTCAAACATATGCTAAATATGAGATCTACAAACTTATTAATAGAAAAAATACCCAAAAATGGATTGTAAGAATGGGAAAATCTCTCTTCAAGTTACATAGTTAAAAATAATTGAATTAAAAGCATTACACTTTTATGTGCTGGATTCCATCTCAAGGGGAACTTTAAGAGACTGGATAAATTTTGTTAACTACACGATTCAAAAATCATCCTCACACATTTTTCATGACTCGAATAATCGATATTCAGTTACAATACATATTGACATTAGTTATGATAATAATTCGGAAGAAAAGGAATTTTTTTTGTGTTTCAATACTTTTTTTGTCCAAAATTCATTTCTTATTCGACGTGAGAAAATGAAAATATATGGGCTGGACTATATGTTGATGGAGATATTGGGCTTGGGCCACAAGTCTGGTTCACATTTGCACAAGATAATTTAAGCTAAAATTAGGGAACAATACATAAATAAAGTATTTAAGTATCACCATTTCAAAATTAAGGTTTGAAGTTTTAAATTTCAAAAATCAGGTTTTCATTAAATTTTATTTATAATTTAATTATGAAATAATAATAATTATTAAATTAATTTATTATTAATATTTAATTCTACTATAAAATAATTAATCCACCCTCACAACTCCGGATATATTCCGATGACTTTTTCGACGACTTTTTCGGCGACTGATCCGATTCCGGCGAATATGTTAAGGTCACAAATTTATACAATTTGGTCACAATTCAAAATTTTTTAGGTCACAATTCAAAATTTTCTTAGGTCACAATTAGTTCATCGATCACAATTTAAAAATTTGAAAGTCACAATTTGTTCATCGGTCACAATAATAAAATTTAAAAGTTACGTTATGTAATTTATGGTCACAGACATTAATTTATTTGTCACATATTAATATTTTTTAGGTCACAAGTTAGTAATTCTTAGGTCACACAACTTGTACGGGTCACAATTTATCGAATTCATTAGTCACAAATTGTTTATTGGTCACAAACCGACTAAATTATTGGTCACAAACAATCAAATCATTTGTGACCATCACCAAATCCACCCGCAACTTCTGTGACCACTCCAACAACAACAAAAAACACCATCTCAACACCACGGAACCAGACAACACCCATCCGCACACAACACACACACCCAAACCGCACCCGCCGCCCAACCGCACACAGAACATAGATCACAGATCAACACATATCCACAAATTCGCAGCGCCCCCACGTCACCCACGCACACATAGCCTACAACTGCCATTATTGGAAGTTGCAGCCGGATTAGCACCAGTAGAGGCAGTAACTTGAGATTCAGATCTTTTACGAGGAGATCTGATTACCAACCGCCCAAATTCGAGATACCAACAGTCCAAATCTGCTGAAGAAAACTCCATCTTCGCCTGCACATTTCCTCCAGATTGCATCGCGAACTGGGCAGTGTCGCTGCTACATCGCGAACTAGGCAGCGTCGACGCTGCCGTTGCTGCGAGATCGCTGCTGCGTCGCGGACGGCAACGCTGCTATAGTTTCGTCGCGAACGGCAGCGTCGAATCTGGCCGGTAGCAGCTGTAGAGAGGAGGAGGGGAGGAAGAATTGTAGAGAGAAAGAGAAGAGGAAGAAGTGACGGTGGGAGGAGAGAGGTTGGAGGGGAAGAAATGATTAGGGTTTGTTCCTTTTATTGTATATAGATTTAAAAATAAAAATAAAAAATATTTTTAAATTATTAAATAAAACCTGATTTTTGAAATTTTGAACTTGTTATTGGATTTTTGAAAATGGAAATCTAAAAACAGGTGTAGGTGTAATTTCCTCCTAAAATTATGTGTAACCCATGAAAATTAAATTTTAAATAGATTTTAATAAAAGTGACCTTGTCTGGACTTCATTATGTCTAAAGTACATTTTTTTAGAACTCATTTTCAATCGCACATTATTTCATAAAGAATAATGTTACTTGCAGTCGCTCACTGCATCAGTCACCCTATGTGTCACACACNTTAATTAAAACTTGATTTTTGAAAAGTGGAACTTGAATCAGGATTTTTGAAGATGGAAATCTAAAAACAGGTGTAGGTGTAATTTCCTCCTAAAATTATGTGTAACCCATGAAAATTAAATTTTAAATAGATTTTAATAAAAGTGACCTTGTCTGGACTTCATTATGTCTAAAGTACATTTTTTTAGAACTCATTTTCAATCGCACATTATTTCATAAAGAATAATGTTACTTGCAGTCGCTCACTGCATCAGTCACCCTATGTGTCACACACATGTCAAGTATGTATTTGATGTATTAAATGTGGTCAAAAACTACCACAACTACCACATTAATGTATCAAATAACTATATGACATGTGTATACCACATAGGGCGACTGCTACAGTGAGCGACTGCAAATAGCATTACTCTTTCATAAAATAATATTACAAATAAATTCAAAAATTTTCATTTTCTTTTAAGCACACATTCTCCAAAAAATCACTATTTTAAAGTAGATTTTCTCCCAAAATCACATTGAAATGGTGCCCAAACAGAAGTTTAATAAAATGTGTGATTGAAAAATTGTGAATTCCATAACATGTGTGGTTGAAATTAAATATTGACTTGAATTTAAATTTAAATTAACTTTTTTAGTGGAACCAAGAAAGATCTTAGTTGATAAAACTGACATAGTAATTAATACCCTAAGCAGCGAAGTAATTGATAATAAATACTTTCTGAATTTGATATTCTTGGTCAAATGTGACACTTAATTCCACAACTAGAATTTCCAAAATTATTGTTTGAAATTTTGGTAGGGGTCAATTTCTATGATGTCTAGACCATAAGTGCAAAGGAGGTCATGAGACAAACAATTGACAATAAACACTAGTACTATTAATCTTAGTCGAATGTTACATTTAATTCTACAAAATAATTCTTGAAAGATCTCTAAAATATCACGACAAGAGATGTAAAGTCAGTCAGTTTGACTTAGATCTACCTCTAGATTGTCTAATTTATCTACTTGATCTAAGCAAAGAAAAAAGGATCATGCTAGTTGTACAATCGAGGTTGACAACCACTCACATGGAGGGTTCACTTTTTTTAAAAAAAATTTTAAACATGCGGACCCCGCACACATGTGAGAGGTTGTTAACCTCGATTGTACAAGTAGAATTATCCAAGAAAAAAATTAAGGTCTTTCACAACATGTAATAGAACTTCTAAACATGGGTCAAATCAAACCAGAGTAATCGATCTAAACGTCTAGTTACATTCCTTCATTCATATATATATATATATCAATGAAGTAGTTCGATTCAAAAATTTGGACATGAATTGTAAATTGAAAAAGTACAATGATATTTAATTATTAATAAAGAGTTACCATAAAGTCATTCTTTATCTTTTATAACTCTATAATTGTAAAATGGGAATTTCAAGCACAAAAATAAAATATAATAAGAAAAAAATATTTTAAAAAATAAAATAAATGACCTATATCTTATCTTTCTTGTCTTTATGACCTCTACTATATACACGCGTTTTCTTGAAAGTTCAAATTAAGCCCTATAATTATTATTTAAAAATTCATTTTTTACGTATCCATTTTAAATTATACATTCAAATAATAAAATATTTTATACGTAAATAAACCAATTTGTTTTCTTATTTTTAACAACACAGTACCCTAAAAAAATTTATTTAAAATATAATTTTTTTTTTTCAAATAATGACCACTAAAACAGGGGCTAAAACATAGGCTTCTGCATAGATAATCAATTAATCACACCCAATGCATAAAGTACAAACACATTCGTGTAAAATTAAAAGATATGTTTCTGTTGATAATTTTGACTTCTTTACTGGAAAAAAGGTACAATTTTCTTTGTGCAGACCCCACAAAACCCAACACCACACGTCCTTTTTCTGTGACAATTTAACAAAAAAAGCCATTTATCAAGCAAGAAGTTTCCTGCCTCTTGCTCGTTTGGGCTTTATTTCCTTGTATCGACACAAAAATTCTTGTTCATTGGTTTACTTTGTTCCAATCTTGATTGGGTTTTTCTAATTTTTATTTAAAGATGGAAACCCCATTTGGAAGAAATTGTAGCTTTGTTATTTGATAATCCAAATACCATTCCGAGGGCTCACTCTTTCGGGGAGAAATTGATCCTGAATGTTTGATTCGAAGAGAACCCGTTTGGCAATTTCTCCAAGAATCGAAATTTATTTATAGGATTGGGTCTTGTTAACCCTAAGTTTCTTTGTGGCAAACATTTTGCGTGTCTTGAAATTGCACGCGAGGATGGGTTGTGTTTACGGGAAGTGCTGTAGCAGATTTCGACGAACCTCAGGTGGTGATAACAAGGAAGAATTGGGTGTATATCCTGGTCAGAATAAGCATATACTTGCTAACAGTTTGGTAGAGATTGTGAATGTTCCTTCACACAATTTCAGGTTAGAGTATTCTGTTCTTACACAGCGGGGTCATTACCCTGAAACGCCCGGAAAGGAAAATCAAGATAGTTATTGTATCAAAAAGAATATTCAGGGCAACCCTGATGTTCATTTCTTTGGTGTGTTTGATGGGCATGGACAGTTTGGAACCGAGTGCTCGAATTTTGTTAAGGATAGACTCGTTGAGATTTTATCAAATGATGCTGCATTATTAGTTGATCCTGATAAGGCTTATAGTACTGCATTTTCGGCAACAAATGATGAACTTCATAATAGTGATATAGATGATTCCATGAGCGGTACTACGGCTATAACAGCTCTTATGATTGGGGATAAGCTTTATGTTGCAAATGTTGGTGACTCGAGAGCAGTGTTAGCTGTCAAGGAAGCGAATAAAATCGTTGCTCAAGATTTATCTCGTGACCAGACGCCATTCCGGGTAGATGAATGTGAGAGAGTGAAGCTTTGTGGGGCTAGGGTTTTGAGTGTTGATCAAGTGGAAGGGCTTAAGGATCCCAGGATACAATCTTGGGGAGACGAGGAAACCGAGGGTGGTGATCCACCAAGGTTGTGGGTTCAAGATGGGATGTATCCAGGAACTGCATTTACACGTAGTGTAGGGGATAGACTGGCGGAGAAGATTGGTGTGGTTGCTGATCCCGAAGTGTCCGTGGTAGAGCTTACAGCTAAGCATCCATTCTTTGTTGTTGCAAGTGATGGGGTGTTTGAGTTCCTACCTAGCCAAACTGTAGTGGACATGGTACATGATACATTTAATGATGTCAGAAATATTTCATACGTTGTTCTTTTTCATTTACACCTTCACCATTAATATTTTGGAAGTCTATGCATAAATCATGTAGCTTTTGTTTGGCAATTAGGGTTGATTTTATCTATAATTGATGTGCATGCATATCTATAATTTGAGAATTTCAACTTTATGCAAATATTGAACTCCATAAATGTAAAACACACTAAACATTTATGCAAAACTAGTGGCCCAACTGGAAGCTTTGTAGTAATACTCCATTCTTCTTTATTTACTGCGCTTACAAAGTATTCTATCGACCATGTTAAAATGGACTCAAGTACATTTTACAAAATATTTTATCGATCATTTATTTAGCACCCGGGGTGTTACAACTCCGGTCTAACTTGCATTAAATGATAGGCTTAATTAAATGGGTTCCATATTCTTTGCATTTAATCGGGCCTATCATTTAATGCCATCTAGACTAGTGTTGTAGTACCAATGGTGGTAGATAGGATTCTTCTTCTTTTACTTACGGCACTTCCAAAATATTTTATTGATCATGTTACTAAAGGGACTCAAGTACATTTCATATGATTGTGAAAACTATAATTTCCCTTGGACTTTGAGATCTTGGTCTATATGGACGTTCGAAAAAGTAAAGAAAACATTTATACTGTTGTAATTGGTACTTCTTGCGGATGTGTTAGCTCCTTATTTCCTCCTCCATGGCATTATAAAATGTAAAGGCCTCGAAATTGGGTATTAAAGTGAACAATTACATTTCAATTTCTGTTAGATGCAGTAAAATTCTATTTTTATACAGTTTTTTGTGTATGGACTGATCATGAATTTAGTTTACCTTTTTGAAATAATGTATGTTATGTTTTGAGTTTATTATAAAGTTAGCATGGACCTTAATCAATTATCACATCTAGTGAAAATGTATTTTTGGGAACTCTTTTGCTGTGTTTTCATCAATGCTGAATATGGCTACATGCTTGTACTCTTATGCATAAAGTTTTATTAATTGATGCTACCAAGTAACAACAGAGCACAGCACTGATTTTTTTTTTTTTTTTAATCCCACTTATATCTGGCAGTAATTTCCGTCTGTCCTTGCAGGTTACAAAATATGCTGATCCCAGGGATGCATGTTCCGCTATTGCCGCAGAATCATATAAATTATGGTTAGAGCATGAAAATCGGACAGATGATATAACCATCGTCCTTGTACAAATTAAAAACTTGTCTAATGCATGAATGATTTGATTCTTACTTTAGTTGTTCACGGCTTTTCTTATTTAATAATCATTTTTTCTTAACCGCCAGTGAAATATGGTTTCCTTCCATGGATTTATATGACATGTAGTGTTGTTACAACACATAATTTTATCCTTCATATTTTTGTGTTTACCACAATGACTGGAAAGAATGTCTGTTTTGTCATCAAGGCCTGATAAGTTGACTAAAAAGGGATCAGTGCAACTAGACAAGTGTCGCTAAATTGAGAAACAGTAAATGAAATGCCCAACGCATTTCTCCTGCATCTTCTGCTATTAGCCAATCTGAGTCCAGCTGACTTGCTATTTTATAAATTATATGCTTTTATTTATCCTATATCTCTGATAATTTTCAGCTGCATCTGTCAATGCCAAAGATGGATGTGGTGAAGGAAATGCTAGGTCAAGGAACTCCAGATATGTTGTAATTTACTAGATCTGGATCAGAAGTTGTTGGTTCAATTATAAGTTTATTTTCTGGAAATTGGAATGCAGTATTCTTGGCATGTTATTCCAGTAGATCAATGTGATATTACTATTCTATCTATATCAGTTGCTTGAATCTTTGATTTAGGTTCTTCTTGCTTCTAACACCGACCCACGACAAGAACAAGAGAAATATTTTAGCATACATTTCTCTCTTTTTGCGGTAACCAAACAGGGAAAAAAGATGGAGCACAAGTTTTCCCTACATCCGTTTTCATTCCCCTGAAATGCTACTCATCATCTTTTGTGAATTTGTGCTTTTGTTGCACTATTCGAGGGTTTTCGATGGAGATCCTTGTGGATATTCTTGGAAAGACTGCCATAAACTAGACATGAAGTAAAGGCAAAAGAATGAAAATCCATAATTACTAGTTTTAAACTAATTGATTTCCTATTCTGTTAGTTTAGTAGCTTTCCTTGATTACTAGAGATTTTAATTACAAGTGTAGGGTTTTCATTGTACTGACCATTGAATTGAGTATTGAATATTGAGATGTATTGAAATCTTCCTCTCACGACTTCTCTCTTTCCCTCTCCCTTCTCTATTTTATTGTGTTCTGTATCCTGTGCTGCATCAGTTTTGCGGGTAGAGATATGTTTCAAAAGAAAAGCATTCTTTGTGGATGGTAATGTGCTTTATTACCAATCCATCATCTGATTTGATATTGTGCTGCAAGTAATTTGATATAGAAGCAGGTGCATAGGAATGTGGCAGTGGAACCGATTGTTAAGGCCTAATTCCATATAATTCTGCATCCCAAGAATTGGCTCTATGTTTTATACATAGAGCTGTATACGTCAATGGAGTTGTTGAGAATGGTAACTTTTCACATTGAACATACCCAATTTTGAGGACTTGATACCAGTAAATTTAGTTTTCTTTGATTGTAGAAATTCTTGCAGTATGGAGACTGGTAACTGTACTTTGCTTCAGAATAAATTATTCATATCTGAATGGGTTGATAAGTAGTGATGACTCTGTTTTTCAATCTCCACAGCTATTCGCTCAGTAACATTCCTAAAAACTCTTAGTGCATGCTTGGTATGTAGCAGTGCGTTGGAGAGTTAAATAGACAAGATTTTAGTTCATTATGTCTTTGTTAGTACTGTCTAGTAATTTTAAGTATAGCTTGCCAAACTAGCCATTATTGATGAGCTTGATAATTCCATATGGGAACATCACACGCACACACACACTCACACTCTTACGCTTAAAGGCGAAGCATCTAAAGCTTTTGTTCTTATTACCCTAATTGGAAAATGCACTCTGGCGAGAAATTAGAGAACCTCTAAATATGCTGAGGCTTTTCTTGCCAACAATACACCTTTGCTTTACTTTCTGAAGAATCCATATGTGCTACAGAAATGTACGGTATTCTTACTCAATGCTGGGTTGGCTGTTTTCGGACCTTTATTATGCATTTTGTTCGCGCTGACTCGTTAATATAATATTTACTGATTGATCGACTAAAAATCCATAAATTGACAGCTTTTCTTTCTACCAATTCTGTTAATTTATCAGCTTCTTTGGTAGGCTTGGCGGCTGACTTCTACCTGTATTCACTTCAATCTCGCACAGTCAACCCTATTTCCTGTTCCTAAATTGAGAGGCTTGTAGCGAAGTTCAATTATTGTGGATGAACAACAAATGAGTGGAAGAATGTACTATTCTGATCTATCTTGGGACTACAAACTTTGAGGCAGAAAAGTCATTGCTGCACCAAGATGGAAGTTGAAGGAAAGATCCCAACCTTTGGATGGCGATCAGGAAAAGGCCGATAGGTAGTATTTTGCATGGGCTGCAGCATCCTCTACCTCCATGGAGATCGCTTCATAACTTCAATGAATGCTGAAATACAGTGCCTCTATACATTCATTGCTAAGTCGAACAGCACACGTGTTTTTGTAGCAGAAAAGAAGCTGTGCAGGCAATTCACTTGCCAGTCGATTTAGCCTCTCTTTTATCTATTCATTGCTGGAGAAGCTCATCTGTTCATCTTTGAGAAAGATGATGTCCTTCATTGTTGCCACTCACAGTTGGAATGCAAGGTCGAGAAGTCTCTGGGAGTTTTAGAGGTCATGAATGGAGTAAAGAAATTATCATCATCACTTCCGGCAGGCGTACAGTGCTACTTGGGGAAGGAGTCTTTCATGGGGGCGAACTGAGAAGTTCAAATATGAATTGACATACAATTTTCAAAGTTCATGTAGGGATGGAAAAAGTTGTAATTTTGAACCCGTTTCGTTATGCACAAACACTAACGTCCTTTAGTTAAATCATAATGACTTCAATTTTAACTCTATCTCCTAGTAGTATCCATATAAAATTACTTTGGATCTTTCATGAAACATAAATCGCTTACAGTAAGGAGATCTCTTGAATATTGGGTAGTCGTTGAATTGTAACATTCGAAGTTTAATTGAATGTCACATGTAGATTATGCGTAAAAATTTGTAAATATATTATTGTGATTCAATAACGAAAAGGAAAAAGAATTTATCGAAAATTCAAAATAGTGTGCAAGTGCTTCTCTTCTATCTCATATTGTAGCTCTTCTTTTAAAGGGGATGCTGCATCGTATCACTATCTTTTGAAATATCGGAATTCGCTTCTTGCTTTTGCTACTCTTTCCCCAATAGTAGGGGAAATTATTGAAAATATCCCAAATTCAACAATACCCTTTTCAAAATACCCTTTTATCATTTTAAAATTTAAACTTCCTAAAATACCCTTAATATGAAAGGTTTTAAAACAAGTCATTCTAATATTAAATAAATTCTATTTTAGTCCTTAAAACATTAATTCTAATTTTGGATTCAACAAATTATTTGCTCCTTGCAATAAAAATTTAACTTTTCTTCACCATCAACTCTTTTCATCTATCTTTACCCCGAAAAATTTGATATTGATTATTTTTGAATTAATTGTATTTTTGCATTTTAGGACCACCAAATAAATGGTATCAGAGCACTATATTCTGAGGATTTAAA